ATCTTTACTGAGAGGGACTCAGATGTGCTGTCTCATAGTTTGATATGAAATATTATACACTCTCACATACACTGCTGTAGCACATTACTTCGAGGAGATATAACTTATATGGGCTCCAATGGCTTGGCCTATTAACCAGGCTATCAGTCTGAAAAGATGACTATTTGGCCATGATTTATTACACACACACACACAAGCACACACAAACACACACACACAGACAGAGGAGAGACCCAGGAGGGACAGAGTGTGTGTGTGTGAGAGAGAGAGAGAGCGAGAGAGAGAGAGAGAGAGACCTGAAACAGAGGTCTGTTATATTGAAATTATTTTATAGCCCAGTTGTCATACAAAGTGGAGGAGGATAGATATTCCCCCCTCTGCGGATCTCCCAATAACCATATACCATATTTCCAGTGTCATATTTGCAATTTCAGCTTCAGGGAGAGAGACTGACTCCACAGAGAGTGTTGTACCGTGAAATGAGTAAGCAGGAATAAGAAATTCTGTATGCTAGATTTTTCTTCTTCTTCTAAATCAGACAGACACACAACAGCTATATTATCAAACGATAAAGCCCTCATTTGACCTTCTTAATGGGAGTGAAGAGGAGAAAGTTGAGATGACAGTTAATAAAATACCCTCCCAGCTCAGACCTCACCAGCTCCAAGTGCTGTGTAATGTCCTTCAGAACAGGCGCTTGTGCGTCAGAACATCTTTTCAACTGTTCAACCACATACAGTATATGTCTTAAAAGAACCCTGTTACCCTATTTCCGGTAAAACATTTAACATATTCACCAATTATTTTTCCCATCAAACCTATAAACTATATGTCTGCATATTGCAACATCAACTTTACAATTATCAACAAGGTCATGAGATGGACAAAAACATGTATGCACGCATTAATGCATGCACCTAACAATGCACGTGCACACACACCCACATGCACACAAACATTAGCATAAACACTCAAACTTGCTATAGGCTCCTGGCAAGATAGTGATTGTTATAGTACAGTGAACAGGCAGAGATGGTTAACAAGTATAGTTGATTGATTGTTTCACTATAGAGTGGCCTTTGTCTATTTCCTTATGTATGTAGAAATGCACAAGTCCTTCTTCTCTGCTGAATTTCAAGTTCAATAAACAGAGAAACCAATTATCAATTCACATTAAACCAGATCTATTGGATAGAGATATGTAATAGATGGAGGCATCTATTCTTGCTGAGAGTCCCTGATGGCTTTTATTGTTTTCTCTGACAAAGTCAATTAAGGCTGAATTCAAATGAACCCACACAGTTTAGTTGGCATTTGGTGCTGCAAAGGGGGCCACCACTACATTTTACATTTTAGTCATTTAGCAGATGCTCTTATCCAGAGCGACTTACAATTAGTGAGTGCATACATTTTTCATACTGGCCCACCATGGGAACACCTATGTAGGCCTAAGCAGGCTATAACGTAGGCAAAGGTCTAATGGACATTGTCTTGGAGTTAGGCCTACCCTAGTCTTCAATAAGACGTGTTGATAGATGTGTTTTAACATTAGTATTAGCAGCAAAGAGATATGTTAACTTCGCGCTCCATCGAAAACAAATTCTACACAGCATCCATCAAGTCCTATGAAAACTGTATCATGCATTTTAACATAGATCGCTACTGCTGTCTTGTGGCTGTAGGCACCTACTGCTCTCATATGCAAAGAGAGACCAAATCCATTTGCTCCAAGGAGGTGTGATGGTTTTCCAGCTGTGAGTTGGCTGACATAGTTGGCCTTGTATCATGGAAGGCATGGGTCACATATTCTAACACCATCTCAATGACCCAAACCATTGCATAGGCATATTAGGGTACTAGGGCGTATGTCTAATTGCTGACACAAAAAAGCAATATTTGGAGAAATAAAATTGTATGTTGATGAAGGTCATGCTTAGCCAAATAAACTTTAAAGGGAAGTAAATGGCTACAGTTCACACTTTTTTAGTTATTTCATGAAATGTTGTCTTTAGAAAAGGGGCATTTTTTTAAGTACCGGGGTAACTGGTCCCTGGGGGTGCCTGTTACCCCGGTAGAAGATTATGGCATAGGGTTTCACAGAAGTGTGTTAAAATCCATTTAATCCGTTTTATTTAGAAATTCTTTAGTTAGTAATACTTAAAAGCTAAGTCTAGTTGTCTTATTTTAATTTAAATAAAATATGGGGGGGAAATGGTGTTGCACATGTCACCATTAATAACTGCACTATGAGGAGATTTTATGTTAAGTCCCTCTTTTTAAATTTCCTTTGTTCTTTCTTTGTTGTTCCGTTTCCATACAATCCATTATGTACAATTGCACTTAATATTATTTAAATAATGGAAGGTTTTAAATCACAGCCGTCTTTAAAATCACATTCAGGAGCAAAAGGTTTGCAATAGTTGTTTTAACTGTAAAGCTATCAGTCACTAGTGGAAACATTTACAACTGCAATTAAGTTACGTTATCTTTTTTATGTATTTTACCTCAGACAATATGGTAGTAAGGTTGCTAGCTAGCACTCATATGCTAGTGAAGTTGCTAGCTAGCAAGTTAGCATAAACTAGCGCTAACTAGGCTAGTCATTGTCTAAATGACAGGTAGAAACACATTCATAACCATAAAGGGTTGCCCTCAACACACTCATCCAACATCTTACTAATTTACTCAAAAAGTATCTACATTTTCTCTCTACACAAGTGGATTATTTATCTTAAGGCTTTCCTACTTGTATATTTAAAAAACAATTATAGATCTAACTTCATTGGAATATATCTACAACTTTTTCCAAATGTAAAAAAATTTGATCAACTTACCACAAAATCTCCAAAGGTTGTGATGACACAGAGGAAATGTTTTGTAGAGCAAGAGCAGTGGCAACCAGGGTAAGTGTTGGGGAAAAAAAATAATTTGGTGACGTCTTGTGGGCTTTTTGTGAATTACAGGGGTGGGGGGGGTTAAACCCAGGGGGCTAGTTACCCCGTAGTACCCTATGATTGGTTTGAAGTCTTGATCTTTATCACTAACCAGGTTTCCATCCAACATTTTTATGTGCATAAAGTACATGTTGGATAAAAAATGTAATGACAGGCCTGATGGAAACAGACAATGTATCGGTAAATTTGACAAATGTCCACAAAACAAAATATGCTAGACAAGGTGGGATCTATTTGTCGGTAAAATTAATTATGCGAGAAATGTAGGAGGAAACGCTTTTATGCGCAAATATTGATACAATAACCATAATATCGAAGTAAACTTGGAGTCACGCGATGACATGTGTGGTCCTCCCACTACGACTCGTCAGGAAACCATGCACTTTATCAGGATACAGATTAAATACATTATGATGAACTTCACAGAGTTGTGAAAGTGCACAGTGATGAGCTTGATGCTCCTTTCCAATAAATATCGAGGGTCATATTCTGGAGACATCATGATCAGATCGATGCTTGACTGCTGTTTGACAAATACAAATATTCTCGCTCTTATCCATAATAAACTCATCATGTAGACTAGCCTACCCGCACTGTATCTGTTGCCTAGAGCGCATGTGCCAATACCAGAGTAGGCACATTTTCTATTTAAAGCAACAGTTTTTGTGACAAAACTATCGCTTGAGTGGAAAATGCGATGGAAACACATTGCACTTTAGATTTGTATTCGGTACATGAAAAATTAAGCGAAAATATATCATCACGCACTGATTTGTATCTGCAACAAGTCCGTTAGGTGGAAACACTACTGGTGGTTAAATTGCGCATATTTTCTTTATGCTGATTATAAAATATTTGCATGAAAATCTGTCGCCAATTGGATGGAAACCTAGCAACTCATGGTGGGTGGATCATGTAGAGGTTTCATTCAGCGGTTGTGAAGTAGGCTATGCTACAGATGAGCATATGAGAGCATCATCAAACATTGCCTGAAGCTTCCAGTAAAAGCTGGTCTGCGCTTCAACGCTTCAGCTTCAGAACATATTTTTGCACTCAAACAAAACGCATGCGCATGGAGCAAACGAATTGGTCAGTTGCAACCCAGTGCAGACAGATGTGATTGAGGCAAGAATCACCTGTATTCTGGCATTCATGGTGACACAGTGAGTACAGTTATATTGGAACTTCCTCTTTGAATTACAATTGAATGCTAACATGTTAATTAGATTCAACACCAGCAATCTAGATGGCAAATTATGGAGACTAGAGAATTATTGCCAGCATGGTTTCTTGACAATCTCGTTCTATCTTTTGGATATAGCTACCGAATTTAATGGTCATTTATTTATTTATTGATGCTGTAGTCATAATTTGCATCAGATCATCAGATGCCATATTCTCCATCTTGAAAGAAAAATACACCTTATGCGTTATTATACTGTATGTCAGCATACAGTATTTCGTTTAAATTATTCTCAATCTTGATTAACCTAATAAATGGTTAAAAAGTGCGCTCTAACCCCCAAGTCTCCATCTGTGTTGTATCCGAGGATGGAGGTAGCAACGCCTTGTCTGTATCACTACCGCACCACTGTCTTTCTCATCCCAGAGCGCGATATAATGCTTTGATCCTGCAAATGTTAGGCTTGGTAATAGGCGTTTAATAGCTTATATATGTTTATGTAATAATTTCTCGCTATAATAAGTTATAGCTTTGACAGTGAAAAGAAGTTCGTGCAGGGATCATTCTGTTCTGTTGAAGTGGTCAGAGCATTCCGCAAGACATGCGCGCTCGAGCTGATGTGACGACATACCGTGGGGATTCCCTCAGTAGGCTACTATTTTCCCATGGTTTCAAGATGTTGTACCAGTCTTTAAAATGGCATATTTTTCACTCCATCAATGTCATCTACAAGAAGATATGTAGACAAGTATACGGATGGATGACTGATGCCTGCCTTCTATGTGGGCATATCTGAACCAAATCGAGTGTCCAGTCTGTCTCACATACAACCTCAGCGTGGTGTTGTGTGTCTTGGTCTGCAGCCCATGGGGTCAGAGCGGGAGAGACAGATGCAGGTGCACCAGGAAACCGCGGCCAGTGTCCTCCAATCACAACACAGGATGGGGAACATGCCCACCAATGCCTCCAATGCCTGTTGTTTCTGCTGGTGTTGCTGCTGCAGCTGCTCCTGGTAGGTACCACTATACTATCCATAGTAAGGGCCCGTGTCCCAAATTGCACTCTATTCCTTATATGGCACACTACTTTTGACTAGGGCCCATAGGGTGCTATTTGGGACTCAGACCATACCTACTTTACTGACATTCTATACCATGCTTATACCAAAACTCTGCACTCCAGAGCAGCAGCGTCATGCACCCCAAAAATCTGAGGGGGCACAAAGTACGTGAGGATGGCTGGGGAGTGGTCTGGAATGGGGACTAGGCCCCCAGTCGGAAAGTTGGAGAATTGTGCTTTTTTCAAACACCTGAAACTGTCTTTCCCGCAATCAAGTTGTTTATTTTGTTAAAGAAACTAAATATGCTTATCTGCATCTCTGCTCAAATCTGGGTACAATATTGAAAGGAATGTGAGTCCTATTCAGTACATTTAGTAATTGCTTTTCTAAAGTCTACCAACCTTGCCAGCAGGCATGCCAGCTAATATAGTTAGACAAGCTGGCTACTCTAGCTTGATTGATTGCCTGAAATGGCTTCTTGGTAACTAGTTATGAGGTTGGGAGATTGGGAACCTATCTGGCTAGCTAAAGCCAACTTCATAAAATTGCTAGGTGGCTAGTAGTATTACAGAGAAACGACAAACAAAAAATGAAACACATTTTTATTATTTATTTTATAGGACAACTCTGAGGGGGCACGTGCCTCTGTGCCCCCTATAGGCATGACGCCTCTGCTCTGGAGCAACCTACATACAGTGCATTCGGAAAGTATTCAGACCCCTTGACTTTTTTTGGAAATTGTTTTTTTCTTGAATAAATCTACACACAATACCCCTTAATGACAAAGCAAAACCTGGTTTTGATAAATGTGTGCACATTTATAAAATAAAAAAACTGAAATAGCACATTTACATAAGTATTCCGACCCTTTACTCAGTACTTTGTTGAAGCACCTTTGGCAGCGATTACAGCCTCAAGTCCTCTTGGGTATGACGCTACAAGCTTGCCACACCTGTATTTGGGGAGTTTCTCCCATTCTTCTCTGCTGATCCTCTCAAGCTCTGGCAGGTTGGATGGGGAGCTGCACAGCTATTTTCAGGTCTCTCCAGAGCAGTTCGATCGGGTTCAAGTCCGGGCTCTGGCTGGGCCACTCAAGGACATTCAGAGACTTGTCCCGAAGCCACTCCTGCGTTGTCTTGGCTGTGTGCTTAGGGTCATTGTCCTATTGGAAGGTGAACCTTCGCCTCAGTCGGCGGTCCTGAGCGCTCTGGAGCAGGTTTTCATCAAGGATCTCTCTGTACTTTGCTCGGTCTGAATGTTTTCCGAATGCACTGTTTATTATACTCTGCACAGGACACAAATAGAGGCATAAAAACGGAGCATCTGCCAGCTACACACAGTCTCTGTGAACAAAACCCACAGGGACATTTATGTTTTGGAGTTATAGATGTATACATAAGCAAGGATTATGCCTCTTCTTCTGACTGCTCTCTTAGGACAGCACTACCTGTTATGTGCAGAATAAGAGCATGGAAATTCACACCTCAGGGAGTGGGAATAGTCCCTGTCTTCACATCAACCTCAGTTAAGTTGTGCTAATTGTCGCAGAGCTACAGTGTGTGGCCAGGGAGCACAGATGTGGTGGATTCTCACCTGCCTTTTAATTAGGCTACAGGTGACTGCTAGACCAGGTGTTTAAATTAACTACAGCACATCTCTAAGGACTGGATGACAGTAGTGTTTACGCAAGACCTCCATGCAGAGCTCACGCATCCGGGACATGTGCACCTGCCACCACTGTTGTTCACAGTTTGGAACAATCAACATGATTTCTATCTGCTACCCACCACACCAATTGACAATAGCTGAAAACCCTACATTGTACATACAGTACATTTTCTATTTTGTTTTTTCACTGTTTTTCAGTCTGACTGTTATGAAGGAGGATGAGAGGATTCAAAGAAGCATCTATGAGAGGATAGAGGGAATCGCAAACTGTGATGACAGGTAACAACACTACACAGTGACTATCCCCTATAGGGTTAGCTACATAGTATAGGATAAACAAGAAGAGGGAATATAGTTGAGACTGTTTAATAGGATCTCTAGACACAGAGATCCTACTAAATTACTTATATGTAATGTAATGTTTTGAGTTCTATATGTAATTATATGGAGCTAGAGCTGAAACGTTGACATTAAATATTCTCAACTCTGTCTATTGTATGAAATAAAGAGCATTGTCCCTCTTTTGAAGCCCCAAGCCTACTCTGGAGGATGCGACAACGTGGACCATGTCGTTTGAGAGGCTGATGAAGAGCCCTGCAGGGCGGGGCTGCTTCCAACAGTTCCTGAGGACAGAGTTTAGTGAAGAGAACATTAGGTTCTGGTTGGCCTGCGAGGAGCTCAAGAAGGAGACCAACAAAACGGTGGTGCAGGAGAAGGTACGACAGATCTATGAGGACTTCATCTCCATCCTCTCCCCTAAAGAGGTGAGCTTACACTGCTTTGGCCTTTCTTGAGACTGAAGTGGCCTATAATTGTGCAAATTTATAGCTGCCAGCCTAAAATGTTTTCTCCATAGAGTATTCTTATTAGTGTGACTTAGCAAGACCACTCTAGATTCCACATTCTTCTGACTTACTATAGTTATTCATTAGACCACTACTGATCTTATTCAACTTCTATGGTTGTTTAATTACTTCTCCAGGTGAGTTTGGACTCACGTGTTCGAGACGTGATCAACAAGAACATGCTGGAGCCCACGTCCCACACGTTTGAGGACGCCCAGCAGCAGATCTACACGCTGATGCAGAGAGACTCATACCCACGCTACATGAACTCTACAGCGTATGCAGATCTGCTGCAGAACCTGGAAGAACCACCTCCTGCCACAGAGCCATAGACTCTCACTCTCCATCAATCACTCTACACATTGCTTTTAGATGACACTTGTGTATCTTATCCAAAGGAATTTTAGGTCCAGCTTTCAGTTACAGTTCACATGTTGATTGATTAACAGGTCAATAGGCTCCATTTACAAAATTGTCTTTATTAAGGTGTAACCACTGTTTATTACCTTAAATATTGGCTTTCCAAAATCCTCGAAGCGAGCAAGAACATACGCTATATTCGGTTTCAGATTGCAAGATGTTTCCAAATATATTTTTATTTTTATATTGCCTAGCGCTTGACATTGCACTTTTCTATAGTGTTATGAGGGGAAAGCATGTTGTATCTGTTAGCACTGCATTTGTGTGTAGGTATATTGTCAGACTTAAAGCATTTTCAGTTCTTTTTAGTGAAACCTAATTTCACTTAATGTTAAGAAGACATGGGAAAGTGCCTTGGCATTAGATCGTTTACCACTACACCTTCAACATAGTTTGAGTAAAATATTCCAAAAATGGTGCAGCAGTTGAACACAATTGATATTAAATTGTGGTGCTTTCAGCTCTTCTCAAAGAATAGTCACTTTTTACATACAGTGTGAGCTGATACCTGGAAAAAGATCTTGCCTGTGATATGAATACTGTGATGCTAATTTAGTCCTATTTTTTTTCTGATTCAAAACGTAAAAAGGAATATACATGTATGAAATAAATAGTATGTGACTATTCATATACTGTATTTGTGTATTGAATTAACAGAAAATGGCTTTAAATTCCTACAAATCGAATAAAGCACAATAATTGTATATTGTAGTCTTCTTTTACTATTGCATTATAGTCAGGGTTTTATTTCCCCATAACAAATCAACATATTAAGATTCATATTTTCAAACCATACAATTAAAAAAAGACTCCCAACACATGTATTCCCTGGAAGAGATGGCTTTTCAATAGCAAATAGCTACACCAACAACAGTACTGGCAACTGGCAACAGATTAAAATACTGAAGATTCCACCAGGCTCCAGCAGAGAATACAATAGTTTAAGTTATGATGTCCCTCTCCTTGGCTTGTCTCTAGCTAGCCATAGGGCCTGTCTATGACTATGTCTCTGACAGCCAGAGTTAGCAGCAGGTTCTATTGAGTGAGGTCTGTGGTTCAGACAGTCTATGGAGCATCACAGGAGTCACCTTCAATGAGCTCTGATGGCGGTGGGTGTGTAGGTCTAACCTTTAGATTGGAGGAAGCTGCTTTTCAATAAACTGCTTGATATCCATCATTTCCTGTAGGACGCAAGAGAGACAAGTATTACTACACAAAATATAATACATTCATTTCATATAAACTCCATTATGCATGTTCAAAGTCTTCAAAAAGAGCCAATCTTCTAGGTTAAACCATATTATAGACTTCTCACAGCTGCTGTGCAAACCATACTAACCTCAGGGCAGGCACTGTGAGGCATTCTGGGATAGGTATTAAAGGTGATGTTGGATGGATTGCAGAGGGTCTTCAGTTTCTCCACAGTAAGACATCCAAACATTACAGGCACTAGAGGGTCCGCCTCGCCATGGCACTGCAGGACATGCATCTCCTTGTTGGCAGAGTTGGCCGACGCCTGAGAAAGGACGAAATTAGGGTTACATTTCAAATCAGCTATGACTTGCAACGTCTCTAGAATGATTTGGTCGACGTCTAGGAATTGACTTTGAACATTGTTGATTTGTGTGGTTTGGTAAAGTAACAAGTTAATAGACTGGTTACATTCCAAAACAATAGAATGGATCTTATGTATAACCTTTGTGCACCACAGAACACTTCTAATGCAGGATAGCTTATACCTGAGGGAAGGAGTGCCGTAGAGGGAGCCAGCAGCTGAGAGCAACCACTCCCCCCAGCTTCTGTTGGGACGTGAGAGCAGTGTAGAGAGACAACGCTCCACCCTGTATACACCAAAGCACACAAATAATTCTTATCGCTGTGTCTTACCACTAAGTTTAGTACATTTCAGTGTTGTTTTACAGTTTTTTGTTGTCATAGGCTAGTCTACCTGAGAAAATCCGCCAATAACAATCCTGTGGGATGGTATTCCATTCTTCACTTCTTGATCTATCAGCGTTTTAACTGAGAAGAGAGGAAGCACTCAATGAAATCAAGTTCAAATAGAATCAAGCTCAGGTTCATACAGTTTAAAACTTCACCATACTGTATGCCCTAGTGCAGCTACAGCCAAACAATGTAGACTCACTTTTCTCTGATGCCTGTTTAATACCAGCTTCGTCTTCCTCTGCATCTGTTTGCAATCCGATGATGTCAAACCTATAACATAGAGGGGAGTGATTAACCCAAATAGGCTACTGTTCTTTGATATTGCCTTCTTTTTATCAAATTAATAAACTTGACTTCTTACCAGGAGGGCATGGACATGCCCATGTTTAATGTAACAGGCTTGATTGGACTGAAAAATAAAAATAACAAAAAAGTTTCAATGTCATTAATAAATGTGTATATTAACACCATGTAATCAATAATCACTATCATCAACATTCTCCAAATACAGGAGGCGTGCTTGTCCACAGAGGTACTCACGCATGAGGACAGATATATTTCACATGTGGTGTCCGGATCGCAGCAAAGGCCTCTGCCCAGCCATGACTTTGAACAAAAGCAAAATATATCTTATGAGCTTTAGACTACAGTAAATGGAAATAATATGACAGAAAACCCTTGAGTCAATGGTGAGTGGCAGGAGTAGAATGAGGGATGAAATGAATGAGCTGTACTGCACATACCCAGTGTCACCCAGGCCATGAAGAAATATCACCTGCAATGCAAAACAGAAACATAAATGCACAATGTGGTTAGCTTTATTGACAACACTTCAATGTCAATGGCTGGTAGGTCTAGGTTTGGGGTGTCAACCCTCCACCTGCAAGCTACTGTGTAGGCTTTTGTTACAACACTACACTAAAACACCTGATACTAGCTGCCCACTATGGGGCCATTTACTGGGAATACAGACGTAAGTGAGACTAAAATGTGAGAGCAAGTTATTGTCTGCAACAACATGCATGTTGCCTTCAATGCTCGCTGTCAAACATCCCTCACTCACCGCTGCAGTGGCTTTCCGAGCGGCAGGTACAATAGCAGGCAACGGCACTGACATATTATTACCGCACATACAACGTGCAGGCAGCTGGCATTCAACAACAGAATTGACGATGTATGCTCGGATGGGAAGAAAACGTTCAATTTGTATCGCCTTTGGCCCTACGATTTGCGATAGTTATGAGGGTACAGTATGTTTACTAAGTCGCGGGCTTCAGTTTGTCAGAGAGCGAGCGCAGTACAAATTCATTAAATAGTAAACACAATGGATAGGACAATATTCTAATCCAATCAATCTGTAGGAAATCCAGATGTTCCAAAAATCAGTGAGACAATGGTACTTCCGCTTCCGGCATGTGCCAGATTGCGTTACCTCACGTGAGCCACATCCATGGTGGCTGATTTTGTCCTTGGGTGACACTGGCATGTGGAGAGGACGATGTCTTTTACCAAAAAACCTGGTGGGAAGGCATTAGATATTTTGCAGAATTTGCCTCGTATTACATTAGCAAACTTGCGACCGGAACCGGGGACCAAGAAAGCTGTAAGTATGCGTTTATTAGTTAGCCCAAAAGTTGCTGAAAAGCTAGCGAGCTAGCTATCATGGCTAGTATAGCCAGAGAGGAAGAGGATAAGTGAGGCCCAACTCGGCAGAAAATCCGTCTCCCTCCAACAGGGGGCGTTTTTTCGTTGTTTCGCCCACCAAACAAGGAGTTCTCGTATCGAGGTCAACGTGAGCGTTTCGAATTTGGTCAACAACAAAAAATAATAATTTAAGTGTACTGATATAAATAGGACATGTGACATCCCTGCAACTTTGAGAAAAAACACTTTACAGAGTTGTCTCGAGATGGATATGCATATTCATGTCATAGCATCTTTTTTTATTTTTTTAAATTACATTTCAAATTACAATACAGTAACAAAAAACAAACAGGATATCACTACACATATATTTTATCTGAAGAAACATAACATTTCATAAAAATCACTACACATGAATTGAGTTTCAAAAGTTAAAGTACCTCAAATTAAAAAAGTCAGGGGTTACAAATGTACAAACCTTTGAGAGAGTTGTAAGAATACCGTTTTTATTTTGTTATTGACTAATTCTAGAGATTTTATTAAATATTGGATTTCAAGTAGAAATATATTGTATTTGGGGACAGATTTCAAATATTTGTTTTTGTGTATATACAATTTACCAGAGAGAATGAAGAAATTAACAACTAATTCAGTAGTTTTGTTTTCATTTGAATAATAATATATTACATCTTTCATTGTAAATACATGGGTCTTATTTAATAAAAAATTAAAAGTACAATACCAGTCAAAGGTTTGGACACACCTACTCATTCCAAGGTATTTCTTTATTTTTATTATTTTCTACATTGTAGAATAATAGTGAATACATCAAAACTATGAAATAACACGTATGGAATCATGTGGTAACCAAAAAAGTGTTAAACAAAATCTATTTTATATTTGAGATTCTTCAAAGTAGCCACCCTTTGCCTTGATGACAGCTTTGCACACTCTTGGCATTCTCTCAACCAGCTTCATGGGGAATGCTTTTCCAACAGTCTTGAAGGAGTTCACACATATGTTGAGCACTTGTTGGCTGCTTTTCCTTCACTCTGCGGTCCAACTCATCCCAAACCATCTCAATATGGTTGAGGTCGGGGGATTGTGGAGGTGAGGTCATTTGATGCAGCACTCCATCACTCTCCTTATTGGTCAAATAGCCCATACACAGCCTGGAGGTGTGTTTTGGGTCATTGTCCTGTTGAATAACAAATGATAGTCCCACTAAGCGCAAACCAGATGGGATGGCGTATCGCTGCAGAATGCTATGGTAGCCATGCTGGTTAAGTGTGCCTTGAATTCTAAATAAATCACAGACAGTGTCACCAGCTAAGCACCACCACACACGCGGAGATCATCGCGTTCACCTACTCTGCGTCTCACAAAGACACGCCGGTTGGAACCAAAAATCTCAAATTTGGACTCATCAGACCAAAGGACAGTTTTCCACCGGTCTAATGTCCATTGCTTGTGTTTCTTGGCCCAAGCAAGTCTCTTCTTCTTATTGGTGTCCTTTAGTAGTGGTTTCTTTGCAACAATTCAACCATGAAGGTCTGTTTCACGCAGTCTCCTCTGAACAGTTGATGTTGAGATGTGTGTGGTAACTCTAATAAACTTATCCTCTGCAGCAGAGGTAACTCTGGGTCTTCCTTTCCTGTGGTGGTCCTCATGAGAGCCAGTTTCATCATAGCGCTTGATGGTTTTTGCGACTGCACTTGAAGAAACTTTCAAAGTTCTTGACATTTTCCGTATTGACTGACCTTCATGTCTTAAAGTAACGATGGACTGTTGTTTCTCTTTGCTTATTTGAGCTGTTCTTGCCATAATATGGACTTGGTCTTTTATCAAATAGGGCTATCTTCTGCAAGAGTGTGCAAAGCTGTCATCAAGGCAAAGGGTGGCTATTTGAAGAATCTCAAATATAAAATATATTTGATTTGTTTTAACACTTTTTTGGTTACTACATGATTCCATATGTGTTATTTCATAGTTTTGATGTCTTCACTATTATTCTACAATGTAGAAAATAGTAAAAATATAGAAAAACCCCTGAATGAGTAGGTGTGTCCAAAGTTTTGACTGGTACTGTAGATTCAGAGCTAAGCATATATATATATATATATATATATATTTATATATATATATTTATATATCCAGTTTACTTTAAAGGGATTGTTGATATCAATTAAATCTAGTACTTCAAGCCCACCATCAGCTCTTTGGTTTGATATTACAGACTTCTTAAGCTTGTGTTGTTTGTTTTTCCATATGAAGTCTAGGAAAGGTTTGTTGATATCCTTGTTGGTTTGGTCAGCTACAAATAGGGATAGAGCAGACCCTTCCAATAATAGAGGTCACGCTGGAGCCAGGTATTAAAGATGGATTTGGTTTTCTTTAGTCTCTGAGAGAAATTAAGATGTTGACGGACAATATGGTTTTTCGCCCTGTGCACCCCTAAATATTTCACATTATCTTTCACTGGAATATTCTCAACAGATTTGTAATTTGAGTTATGTATGGATAATATTTAGCATTTATTTAAGTTAAGTTCCAGACCAGAAGCAGAATAGAATGATTTGATAATATTAAGTGCAATAGCAACTTGAGCCTTGTCTTTTAGAAACAGAGCTGTTTCGTCTGCTAATTGAGATATTATTATTATTTTTCCAAGTATTGAAACACCTTTTAATTCAGGGTTGTTTAAAATGCTAATAGATAGTAATTCTACAACTAAAAGGAATAAGAAAGCTGAAATAGGGCAACCCTGGCGTACACTACAGTGAATACTACATATTTTTGATGTGTTACAATTAATCATAATAGGACTATTAACATCTTTATAAAACATATTGATAACAGAGACAAAGCTAGTCCTGAAACCAAATGTGTACAACGAATGTATTAGGAATTTGTGTTCAATTGTATCAAATGCTTTAAAAAAGTAGAAGAATAAAATAATAGCCTCTGATTCAATTGAATCAGCGTAATCAATCAAGTCTAAAACTAACCTAATGTTACAGCTGATGTGGCGACCTTTCATGAAACCAGTTTGGGTTTCATTAATAAGGTGGTTTAGGCCCATTTTAAGTCTATTAGCATATGCTAAAGTTAACAATTTATAATCTGAATTTAATAATGTAATAGGTCTCCAATTAAATGTGAAAAGGGGATCTTTATCAGGTTTTGGTATTAAGGAAATAACCCTTTGTTTCATGGTAGTAATCATCTCACCCTTAGCTAGTCATTCTTGGAACATGTTGAATACTGGTCCGTCTAAATGTTCCCAAAAGTGTAAATAAAATTCCACAGAAAGACCATCTCTTCCAGGTGCTTTGCCCTTTTTCATAGATTTAAGAGCATCTCTAATCTCTACTATAGAAAACTCATCTTCACATATGGACTTGAACTCATCAGAAATAATTGGAACATGACCATGGACATGTGTCATAAAATGTTCACATTCAATCTCAATAAAATTAGATTTATACAGATTTTCATAGAAATAATACACAAAGCTAGAGATGATCTTAGGGTCTTTACACAAGGTATTGTCAATATTTAAGGCAGAAAGAGATTTTCTCTTGTAGTTCCTTTTTTCAAGAGCAAAAAAATAGCTTGTGTTTTTCTCACCCTCCTCAACCCATTTAGCTCTAGATCTAATAAAGGCCCCTTTAGCTAAATCAATGTACATTTGATCTAGTTCTATCCGAGATGTATTCAAGTCTGTTTCTTCCTCTGCTGAAAGGGTATCGTTTTCTAAAAGAACATTCAATGTATTGTGAAGCTCATCTTCTTTCAAACATGTTTTTTTCTTTAGTTCCTCTCTGTGTGTAATGGAGATAGATCTTACTTTCAATTGAAATATTTCCCAGTTACTTCCATGCGTTGGTTCTAAATCATTTGAATGAAACGAGTCTATGATCAAGTTCTTTATGTTCTTGTTGAAGACTTGATCATTTAGAAGTTAATTATTAAGTTTCCAGTATCCTCGAATGCCACTGGATTTTTCAGAACATTCTAACTTCAATAATATTGATATTTATTTTATTTGACCTTTTATTTAACTAGGCAAGTCAGTTAAGAACAAATTCTTATTTACAATGACTGCCTACACCGGCCAAACCCGGACGATGCTGGGCCAATTGTGCGCCGCCCTATGGGACTCCCAATCACAGCCAGTTGTGATACAGCCTGGAATCGAACCAGGGGGTCTGTAGTGACGCCTCAAGCACTGAGATGCAGTGCCTTAGACCGCTGCGCTATGATAGGGAGCCTTATCATTTTATGATCAGTCAAAGGAGCATGTTTATGACTTACTTCTTGTACATACTGTGCAAGTGGGGGAGAAATGAGAAACAGATCAAGTCTGGATCTGACCTCTTACACCAGGTGTATTCGTTTAAGTTTTTATTAAAGAAACGCCATGTATCATCCACTGTCAGTTTACTGCAAAATAAGGTGATGTCACTATTG